TGCTTTTTTTTACCTTAAAATAGGCTTTAATCCACATTGGCTGATCCTTATTTCCAAAGTCCCAAAGGACCCTAAATGTAGTCCTGTATCACACTGCACAAATTCCTTCTTGGAAACTGGATATGAACAAAGGCTTGGAGATCTTGTGAGTTTAACAAAGACCCTTCACAATATTGCTTGGTATGTCCCAATGTGAACAAGGCACCAAAGGAGCTCCAATTAAGTTATGTTTCATATCGCTGTAGTACATCAGTGCAGATTGAAGCTGTGCAGTGAAACAGTGGGTCTGTAGCCCTGCTCTGGATTTGATGTTGCCAATGGACAGTCCACTGCCAGATTGTGTGTGAGCAACATCTGCCCAAGGAGTGCAGTGTAAGGTAAGTAAAAAAGCATTTTTCCTCTTTAGTGATGGGCCGCACAACTCCTAGTTCGGTTCACGGTGAACCTAATGAACTGTGAACTTCAAATTTAAAGAGTTACTAAACCCAGGACACTGCATTCACTATATCAGGTCTCCCACAGTTTACACAACATGGAAATGCAATTATTTTAGTAAATATAAACTGCTAAATACCTTTTCTCATCAGCAGTTAGAGCAGTCTTGTAACTTCTATCAGTGTCCAGCCAAGCACTGGTTAAGGTTTGTAGGAGGGGTTTTCATTTTGCTCTAGGAAGATGGAAGATGCAGAACCCCTGACCTCTGTCTGGACAGTGTGATTAACCCTATCCTGATCACATGCACTCTCCTAAGGAAAAAAAAAAAACCTCTCTAGCAATACACACCAAACTGAGCATGTGCAGAGTGACTCTACATGACATGTCTTATCAGGACATAAGAGGGGAACACTGGAAGAAGAGGAGGATCAGTAAGGTCAGGATCAAACATCCTTTTTACACAATGCAGAGGATTAACACCTTAGGTTCCACAGCAAGTATAACAAGCATGCTTTACTGCATATACAGACTGATTTTACTGTTGTGGGTTTAGTAACACTTTAATGCAAGTCTATGGGACTCGGAATTGTAAATTCAAAAGTGCCCATTTTGAAGGCTTATGTGCAATTTATTGACCATAAAAGGGGTATGAGGACTCAGGTACTGCCCTGAGGGACATGAATTGGTGAAAAAAAAATTTCAGTCTGTGTCTCTACCTTATAGGCCATTGCCCTCCATTGGAAGTCACCAGTGGTACCTTTGGCCTCTGTTTTGCGGAGAGTTGATATGGTGATGCTCATGGAATATATTCAATATACATTTCTGGATAGGATGCACACAACAGAAAATGGGATGGTTGGAAAACACATCGGCATTTATTGTTCGACTGATGGACTATCAGAGATTGATTGGTATTGAATCTTTGTTGGTTGTGTGGTTGTTCTGCATATCTTACTGCCTACCTCATTCATGTACTTGAACTTTATTTTTCTATGATTGTGTTTTATAATACTGTTTATTACTTATGTGCCCTTTTCTTGATGTATACTATACCTCATGAAGTTGTGGTTTTGCAGTCTATCCCTCAATAAAAACATTTATAAACAAAAAAAAAATTTCAAAAAGTACCATTTTTATGTTTCAATATTTTTATTAAATTTTTTCAGAGAAAAAACAAGGAAGTGCGATATGGTTCATTCATACAGTATTACACTAGACGATATATAGTTAAACATTTTTGTTGTTATTCCACCCAATGGTAGGTGGAGGTGTAGATCTTGTTTAGCAATATCATCAGAGATATTCATATATAGGTATGATGGACCTTGGTGGGGAGTTGGGTTGTTAGGGGGGTTTTGGTGGGGGAGGAGAGGATTGGGGGAGGAGGGATATAACTGGGTAATTGAGGAAATACCAGTCTTGGTTTGGGCGGTAATTCAACTAATAAAGTGTCATCAGGATTGTACAGAACATTTTGGGTGGTTTAGCCACCGGGTCCATTGGTTATTAAATTTGTGATAGGAAGAAGTATTAATTGCGGATAGTTTTTCCATTTGATATTGGGTGTTAAGGTCTGTAATTATTGAAGTGATTGAGGGGGTATTATTTGTGTTCCATAATCTGGTAATGTTAATTTTGGTGGCAAAGAGTATGTGGGTAATAATTTTTCGGGCATGAGGAGGGAGTTTCTCGATCCAGATGTGTAGGAGTGTGAATGAGGGGTTCGGGGTTATCAAGATTTTGCTTATTTCGGAGATTAATTGAAAAGTAGTATTCCAGAAGGATTACATAACCAAAGGATATGCAGTGTTGAGCCTGGCTCACCACATTGTCTCCAGCATGTAGGAGACTGTTTCGGGTAGTAGATGGAGAGTTTGACCGGGGTCAGGTACCATTGGTGGAGTATTTTTAGATATGATTCCCAATGGGAGCTGCATCGGGTAGATTTATAGGTGATGTTGAAGGTATTTTCCCAGCAGTTTAAAGTTATTTGGTCTGATAGGATTTTTTCCCAGTTGGTTAGGGAGGTTGTTTGTAGAGTAAATTGTAAGTTTATGAGATATGTATAAAAGGTGGATATACCTTTGCCTGGGTATTGAGGTTTGGTGAAGAATATGAAGGCTGTAATTGGTATCATAATGGTGTGGGGTAAGATAGATATTTGTAGACAGTGAGCTATTCTTAGGTATGTAAAATTTTCAGTAGTAGGGAGATTATATTTGGTTTGGAGAATTTGGAAGGGGCATATAGATTGATTGATATAGAGGTCTGTTATATTGGTTATCCCTTGTTTTGTCCATTGCGATAAAACTAGCGAGGGAATGAGAAGGTGTAGTATATTGGTTGGAGTAGGTATATGTTTGACGTCTTTAAATTTAGTGGAAATGAGGTCCCGCCAAGCTTGTAGGGAGGCTTGAATGCAGGGGTGTTTTAGTTGGGGTTTTATTCGTTTGGTCGGTGGAGTCAGGATTATATTTTGGGGCTTAAGTGGTTGAAAAGGGAGGGTTTCCATTATGGACCAAATTTTTTCTTTCGATGGGTTCCACCAGAAATATAATTGGTCTAAAAGAGTGGCTGTGTAACATGACTTGAGGTGTGGGAGTCCTGCTGCTCCTTTAGCTGTAGGGCATATTAAGAGATTGGTGGTACATCTTGGTTTTTTTCAGTTCCATAGGAACTTTGTGAGGATTGTTTGTAGGCTAGAAAAGAATGAATTAGGGATTGGTATATGGAGTGTACGGAATATGTATAAGATTTTGGGTAAGATGTACATTTTCAGAGTTGCCACTCGGCCAAGTTTAGAGAGTTCTGAAGTGCGTAAAATGTTTAGTTCTCGGGGGATAGTTTCAAGCAATATTTTATGATTTGCTGTTTATAGTTGGTCTGTCGTCAGTGTGAGTCTGATTCCTAAGTAAGGAATGTTGTTCGTTTCCCATAAAAAAGGGAATTGTTTGGCTAGTTTGGTTTGGAGTTGGGATGAGATGTGAAGTTTAAGTATGGAAGATTTGGGTTCGTTAAGTTTGTAATATGAGACTGTTGAGTAGGTATATAGGTGTGCGCAAATCGTTTTGAGGGATTTTTTTTTGGGTTGGTCACCATTATTATAATATTGTCCGCAAATAGGCTAATTTTGTGTTCCATGTTGAGGTGTGTGATTCCTGTAAATGAACGGTCCGCTCTGAGTTTGGATGCTAGGGGTTCAATAAGGAGTGTAAAAATTATCGGGGAGAGTGGGCAGCCTTGTCTTGTACCATTTGAGATGTCAAAGGGGTCAGATAATGTGCCATCTGTCAGTACTCTAGCAGATGGCTGTGAATATAATGACAAGATGGCGTTCAGCATCCAACCCATGATGCCGAATTTTTGAAGAGTGAGTTGCATGAATTGCCAATGTATCCAGTCGAATGCTTTCTCTGTGTCTAAAGATAGGAATAAGGAGGAGCTCTTGGTACTTTCTAGGTTGTGTAGGATGTAGATAATTCTTCTGGTAGCATCGGGTGCTTGGCGACCTGGAATGAAACCTACTTGGTCTGGGTGAATAAGGGTGGGGAGGTAGGGGAGAATTCTTCGGGATATGATTTTCGTCGGTATTGAGTAATGAAATTGGCCTGTAGTTTTGACAAGTTGGGGGTCCTTGCCAGGTTTTGGTATAGTCGTTGTCAGGGCTCCGGGGTGTGACCAGAGGTATGTGACTGATGCAGGGAAACGCAGGCTTCAGATAAGTTATAAACAATATAATTTATTAAAGACTAACAATACAAACATAAACGCAGTGCAATACTAAAACATAACACAGTGCAAACGAACCAAACCAAACCACCCACAGATAACGAGTACATACAATGCAAGCGTCGTCAGGCAGGCCGGGTCAATAACAATCGGGCAGGTAGGTACAGGGGGTCAGGCAGAGAATGGTCGGGGTCACAAGCCAGGGATAAATCAGGAGAAGTCAGCAGAGGTCCGGATCAGGCAGGGTCAGCAACGAATCAGACAGAGACAGGAACAGGAGCAGAAACAGGAACAGGAACAGGGATGCAGGAACAAGATACAGGGCCCAGGAAAAACACACACCAAGGCAGAGACTGCAGGTCTGGCCATCCCTTAAATACACCTGCATGATCAACTTCAGGTGTTTGGCTGGCTGCAGGGTTGAGTCTCTGATTGCTGGAAGCACCCGCTGGCCAGCCCTGGTACTGCAGCCCACAAGGCAGGTGAGTCCCACCATTACTGGCAAGCCCATTCCTGACAGTACCCCCCCCTCAAGGAGCGGCCTCAGGAAGCTCCAAACAGTCCTAGCTGGGCAAAATGTTCCACCGCCCGGGTCTGGTAACTGGCGGGATATCAAAGACTGGCACATTGGGCAGGACTCCGGGCAGCGGCACATCAGGCTGGACCCCCAGGCGGGGCGGCGGGCGCCGGGCCCCCAGGCGGGGCGACAGGCATCGGGCCCCCAGGCGGGGAGACGGGAGCCGGGCCCCCAGGTGGAGCGGCGGGTGCCGGGCCCCCAGGCAGGGCGACAGACATCGGGCCCCAAGCGGGGTGACAGGCATCGGGCCCCAAGGCGGGGCGACAGGCATCGGGGTGACAGGCATCGGGCCCCCAGGCGGGGCGACAGGCATCGGACCCCCAGGCGGGGCGGTGGGCGCCGGGCCCCCAGGGGGCGGCGGGGCGGCGGGCCCCCAGGCGGGGCGGGGGGCGCCGGGCCCCCAGGCGGGGCGGCAGGCATCGGGCCCCCAGGCGGAGTGACGGGCATCGGGCCCCCAGGCAGGGCGACGGGCACCGGGCCCCCAGGCGGAGCGGCGGGTGCCGGGCCCCCAGGCGGGGCGACAGGCACCGGGCCCCCAGGAGGGGCAGCAGACACCGGGCCCCCAGGAGGGGCGGCGGGCACCGGGTCATCAGGCACGACAATGGGCATCGGGTCACCAGGCATCAGGTCATTTGGCTCGCCAGTGGGCACCGCGTCATCTGGCAAGGCAGTGGGCACCGAGTCACCAGGCACGACAGTGGGCTCCGAGTCAACTGGCATGACCGCGGGCACTGGGTCAGACATTGGATCGTCTGGCTGGACAGCAGGCATCGGGTCACCAGGCATCAGGTCATTTGGCTCGACAGCGGGCACCGCGTCATCTGGCAAGGCAGTGGGCACCGAGTCACCAGGCACGACAGTGGGCTCTGAGTCAATTGGCACGACAGCGGGCACCGGGTCATCAGGTACCGGATCGTCTGGCTCGACAGCAGGCACCGGGTCATCTGGCGCTGGATCGTCTGGCTCGACAGCGGGCATCGGGTCACCAGGCATGACAGCGGGCATTGGGTCATCAGGCATTGGATTGTCTGGCTCAACAGCGGGCATCGGGTCACCAGGTATGACAGTGGGCTCCGAGTCACCGGGCATGACCGCGGGCACTGGGTCAGACATTGGATCGTCTGGCTCGACAGCGGGCATCGGGTCACCAGGCATCAGGTCATTTGGCTTGACAGCGGGCACCGCGTCATCTGGCAAGGCAGTGGGCCAAGTCACCAGGCACAACAGTGGACTCTGAGTCAATTGGCACGACAGCGGGCACCGGATCATCTGGCGCTGGATCGTCTGGCTCGACAGCAGGCATCGGGTCACCAGGCATGACAGCAGGCACTGGGTCATCAGGTACCGGGATCGTCTGGATCGACAGCGGGCACCGGGTCATCTGGCGCTGGATCGTCTGGCTCGACAGCGGGCATCGGGTCACCAGGCATGACAGCGGGCACTGGGTCATCAGGCATTGGATCGTCTGGCTCGACAGCGGGCATCGGGTCACCAGGTATGACCGCGGGCACTGGGTCATCAGGCATTGGATAGTCTGGCTCGACAGCGGTCATCGGGTAACCAGGCATGACAGTGGGCACCGGGTCATCAGTTACCGGATCGTCTGGCTCGACAGCGGGCACTGGGTCATCAGGCGTGATAGGATCATCAGGCTGGATCAGTTCATCAGGCTGGGTACAGACATCAGGCTGGGTACAGACATCAGGCTGAAGTGCGGGTGCCGAGGCACCAGGCTGAACCACGGAAGGCAGGTTCTCAGACGGCAGGCTCACCGGTTTGGATACTGGCAGGATGGTACTGGTTGGAAAGCATTTCCGCTTTTTTCTGGTTTTAACTACTGGGGCACTGCAAGTAAACGCAGGTCTGCAAACGAATGGAGCAGCTGAGGACAGAGAAGAGCTGGAAGATGGAACAGAGGAGGGAGCAGTTGCTACAGAGGACTTCTTTACAGGGTTAAAGAAAGGATAGGTGCAGCGAGTGGGAGCAGAGGACTGGTATGTGGTAGTTAGAGTATACTGGGCAGTCACTGGGGGTGCTGTCGGGGATGCAGGAAGAGTGCCTTGAGTGGAGGAATGATGTTGTAAGCTGACTGAGGCTGGGTGCAACAAGTCTGACCATGTCTGCAGTATGGGTTGAAAAAAGCTCAGCTTACACAAAGCCTGTCTGACCAAAGACTGCACTGCGTTTATACAATCTCTTAGTATCTGTGGTGAACATGCAGAATAATGCTCCAGAAAGTAATCCACATCATCCTCTAATAACCATACCAGGGACTCTACCTGGTCGGCACTAAATGGCGGCAAAAATTCATCCCTGCATTCAGGGGTACCAGATGAAACCAACTCAGCACAAACCTGAATCAATGGCTGTACCTCAGAGAATTCTGTGCCCTGATCTACTAGAACATGATCCGTATACACTCTAGTAGTTCATCCCTGGGATACTCCTTCAGAGTCTGATAAGCATATTCTCTGTCATCAAACACTAGCAGAGATAAATACACAACATCATCAAGATCCATCCTTCCCAGCAACAAGCCAAGATGGCTTCCCTGTGCAGCCACTTCTGGTCAGGATTGGCCTTGGTGTAATGTCAGGGCTCCAGGGTGTGACCAGAGGTATGTGACTGACGAAGGGAAACGCAGGCTTCAGATAAGTTATAAACAATATAATTTATTAAAGACTAACAATACAAACATAAACGCAGTGCAATACTAAAACATAACACAGTGCAAACGAACCAAACCAAACCACCCACAGATAACAGTACATACAATGCAAGCGTCGTCAGGCAGGCCGGGTCAATAACAATCGGGCAGGTAGGTACAGGGGGTCAGGCAGAGAATGGTCGGGGTCACAAGCCAGGGATAAAACAGGAGAAGTCAGCAGAGGTCCGGATCAGGCAGGGTCAGCAACGAATCAGACAGAGACAGGAACAGGAGCAGGAACAGGAGCAGGAACAGGAGCAGGAACAGGAGCAGGAACAGGAACAGGGATGCAGGAACAAGATACAGGGCCCAGGAAAAACACACACCAAGGCAGAGACTGCAGGTCTGGCCATCCCTTAAATACACCTGCATGATCAACTTCAGGTGTTTGGCTGGCTGCAGGGTTGAGTCTCTGATTGCTGGGAGCACCCGCTTGCCAGCCCTGGTACTGCAGCCCACAAGGCAGGTGAGTCCCACCATTACTGGCAAGTCCATTCCTGACAGTCGTTATGATGGATTGCAACATGTCTTTGGGGAATGAGCCTGTGGTGGCAGCATGGTTGAAGAGTTTGGTCAGGTGTGGTAATACGTCTGTGGAAAGGTGTTTATAGTATTCGTTAGTGTATCCATCGTTTCCTGGGTGATTTGTTAACTGGGAGTGTTTTAATGGTCATTTCTATTTCTTTGGGTGATATTGGGGTAGAAATGGTGTCAAGTTGGTCTGAGGATAGTTGAGGGAGATTGGTCGTTTGGAGAAATTGTTGTATGGAGGTGGTTGTTGGCTGAATGGTGTCAGGGTTGTTTTTAAGGTTATATAGGTTTTGGTGATATTCTGTGAAGGCGTTAGCTACTGAATGTCTTGCGGGTTTGTGTTTAGGGTATTTGTAGATGGGTGTTTAATTGAGGCTATTTTGGATTTCAGCCGCTTTTGTTTTACTGATTTGGCTAACAACGAGGTGGCTTTGTTACCTAGTGAGTAGAATTTCGCTTTCATTTTTTGGAGATTTAGTTCATATTTGTAGAGTAGAAGGGATCTTAATTTATTTCTATCTGCTGTCAGGGATGAAGAGATTGTTAAGTCTTGAGATTTTTTGTTTTTTTCCTCATTTGTTTTTATTGAAGTTAAGAGATTATCTATTTGTTGGGTTCTGTTTCTGTTAACGCGAGCGTTTAGTTGTATCAGAATACCTCTCATGTATGCTTTATAGGTTGACCACAAAGTGGTTATGGATATATCAAGGGTATCATTAAATTCAAAAAATGTCCTGTGTGCATCAATTATTTGTTGCTTGTAGTCTAGGTTTTTCAACAAGATCGAGTTCAATCGCCATAATCGGGGGATATCGACAAATGTTGTTTGCTGTCAAGGGAAATAGTGATCGGAGCATGGTCTAACCAAGTGATGGTACCAATCTTGGAGGAGATGATGTGTTGTAAAGTCCATTTATCAGTGATGAAGAAGTCGATTCCGGAATAGGATAAGTGGGATGGAGAATAGTAGGTATAGTCCTTTTCTGTACTATGTTGGCATCTCCAGATGTCGTAAAGATCATTGGAGTGGAGAAATTGGTTGAAGGACTGTTTTGAAGATCTTGTCTTGGATGATGTGTCGAGAAGAGGATTCCCGATAGTGTTAAAGTCTCCACCGATGAGTAGTCTGCCTTTTCTGTGTTGATTTATAATGGAGTTAAGTTTGTTGAAGAATTGGAGTTGATTGGTGTTAGGACCATAGATGTTCACCAATGTGTATGTAGTATCATTGATATTTCAGTTCAATATGTGGTAGCGGCCTTGTGGGTCTGCTGTTGCTGAGATAAATTGGAACTGCAGGGAGTCTCTTATGGCTGTAATGATGCCGTTTTTCTTTAAAAAGTACCATTTTTAAAGGACAGTCATTTTCTATTGCTTAACCTCCCTGGCGGTATTCCCGAGTGTAGCTTGGGGTTAATGATCAGTACCAGAAGCGATAACCCCGAGCTACACTCGGGATTACCCTGCAGCGTTGCCTTGTCCTGCGCTCCCACAATGTTCCCCCTGCAGTGTCCTGCATCCGTCTTCCGGGTTCCAGTCCCTGCGAGCGTCGGGACATACGGCGGCCGGAACCGGTGGGAAATTTCAAAATGTTAAAAAGTGACATTCACTAAATACACTAAAATAACATAGTAAAACATTACTGTATCAAACCATTTCGCATACATTTTGTCCCGAGTGCTTTGTCCTGTGCCCTGCTTGCATTTTTACCATTCTTTCTGCCTTGAAACTGAGAAAAGTCCATGGCGTCCAAAAAGCGTCCCCTTATGTCAAAAGCGGTTTTAGACCAGCTAGAGAACAGCGATAGTAAATTAGAACCACTTGCAGAATTGAGTGATAATGATTGGTGGGGAAATTCGTCATCAGACACTGAAAAGGATTTTGTGACTAAGTTCAGTGATGTGCGAACTTGGCGCTCTATTTAAAATTTCAGTGTTTTTGGTTTGATTATATTATTGAATTAAATTTATTATTATAATATTATTTTTTATGATTATTTATTATATTATAATTTATGAATTTGTGTTTCAAATTTTATTATACCCGGGATGTTTACAAGACTCTTGTTCGGACAGATTTCAGTGAATTATTCATATAAATTACAGGCCTACAATAAAAAAAAAACAACATATTTGCTTGCAAATAAATGTACTGCTTTGAGCACAGAAACAATGGCATAATTAGACCGCTAGGGAGGTTAAAGAAAAAAAAGAAAAAATCCTTTAAATATTATGCCTGGGGGGGTCCCTTTAAACTTCCTGCAAAATTGCACATCTGTACAATTTATAGAACCTGCTGCAGCAGGACTGTCATTTTTTTTTTTTAATTACATTTAAAAAAAAAAACACACAGCCTGGGGTCCCCCCCAAATCCATACCAGATCCTTTAAGTCAGATAGTAAGGTTAGGAGGGACCCCACAAGGATTCACCTGGATAATCTAGGTTTTGAATCATGTGTCCGGGTTTTAGGCCAGCTGCACGTTATTCAGACTGGGCTGTGGTTCACTGTTCCTAAGCTGTCTCGCCATGTGACTTTGCTCCTGCCGCATAATGAATACAACCCTGGGGCAAGGTTCTCCCTCCCCTGTCTCCAATATGCCTCCAATACGCCTCCCCTCAATTCGCTCCAGCTCTGGCTGCCAATCGGACACAGAGGTGAGGTGAAACATCCATGTGTCCCTGCTCTGATTGGCTGCAGAAGGGATACTGAGGTGGTAGTGGAGGTGGAGTTTCCATGTTGCTGGCTGATCTGTGGGTGGGATAGAAGTGCCTTGCCCAGCCTTGGAGGTTGCAATGGGAGACTAAGTTGCTTAGTAAGTTGTTGGAGCTTAGTTGTATGTTGTGGGACTCAGCAAAGGATGTTAAGGTGGCCAGAAGGGTCAGGGATAGCGAATGGAGGAAACTGAGAGCAGGATGAGTTTGTAAGGATGGGATCTACAGGAGGGTTTTAAGCTTGCCGGCTTCAGTTGCTCTGTGCATGCTACTGTCCAGTGGCCTCTGCATAGTTGGAGCAATTAATTTGGTGTCTTTGGGATCAGTCATACTAGTGGTTGGGGAGGGCAGTACAATCTTGTGTTTGAGTAGCACATTTACCCCCCCCCAACCACTACAAAGCATCTATGGAAAACCGGAATTGTTAGCTACTAAGACAGCAGAGAAGAAAGAGTAAATGAAAAAGGGAAAAAAAGGGTGGGGGGGGTAGGAAGAAAGTGGGAGGAGAAGGAGAGGTAATCAGCTTCCAGTGAGCCTGGGGACTCACTCATCTGACTGGACCAAGGCCAAAAAAGTCAGAAGTAAGGAGTCAAAGCCTGGTGGGAGAAAATGGTCCACCCAAGGCTGCCAGACTTTGAGGTGTTTGGGGATCCTATCTAGTATTGTAGACTCAATTTTGCTATGTGTGAAATCTATGTCAACTTTTTACTAAATAAAATCAAAGAGCATATGTGGTGGGTAAGTCTGGGGTTAATATTCCTTTTGGAGTTACCATCCCTA